TTTAGGCACAGAAGAATGGTTACACTGGACCAACGTTAGGACCCCGAGAATCTCAACATAATCCTAGAAACTTTGATGAACAAACATTACACGCTGGTAACTTTATTTTTACTTCATTTACATCCAAGTTTATTATAAGGGATACCTTTAATGATACTTTTAAACCTTTACAATGCCAGATTTGAATAATGGACTAGTCCTGTTTTTTATCTGGAATTGTTCATTGTTGTTGTAAAGGGGTGTAGATATAAAAAACTTGAATTATGTACCCATTACAGTTTAAAAGTCTACATTGACTGTGCAGAATTATATTAAATATCAAATTTCATATTTTGGTAAATGTTTTGTGTTTTAATGTTCCCTGTAAAATAAGATATTCACTATATCAAAGTTAAATACTAGTATTTTATGTAACCTAACTTTCTCGCGAGGGCAGCTAGATGATAAAATTCCCGTCACCGCGCATTGCTACAAATTTTGAAACAAACTTGTTTCCGACTCCTTCAGGATCTGGTGCTCTCCCTTGTAAAGCATTCTTTCAGTTACCTCCCTTGAACTTAATACGGCGCAACATGATTAAATCATATCGCATGTTATGCTAGAAAAAGCAACAACAACCCCACCCCCCCCCCAAAAAAAAAAAAAAAAAACCTATCCTCACAGCTTTGGCTAAAAAACATAACATACAACTTTGGCTAAAAAACATAACATTGTACATGCTACTGTATGTTTTTCTTGGTAGATATTTTAAAGTGGCCTTTCACATTCCGATTTCTAATTTTACTTTTGATATCGTTCTCCTCATTTCCTGTTGACAGGTTTGGAAACAATATATATTTACTTGACAGGTTTAATCTCATTTGGGTCTCAAAAACACAATTTTGATAGATAATAATGTTCCATTTTTTTCTAAAGATTTAGATTCAGGTAAGATGCTTTTTGAAAAAAGAGATACTTTTTGTGTTTCTGTTTTTCATATTTGATATACGAGGGTTATATTTATTTAAGAAATGTAATTGTATCCTTTTTTGTTAAACTAGTGGCGTTATGTGATAAATGTTTACAATGAAGAATTTTATATGTTCCTAATTTATGATGTTACCAGCGATGAACTACTTTTATGTCTGCTTGGAATTACGTGCGTAGTAATCCAATCACGACTGCGTTTAGTTAAACATTTTTATTTTAGCTCGATTTGCGAAACAAGTTCTTGCAACTTATATAAATCAATGTCTAGTTCGCCTCCTAGAACTAACCAGTACTGGTGTCATATGAGGAATCATGATCGTGATCCGATTATGGCTCGAACCCATGATTCCTGGGTTGAGATGCAGACACATTAACCACTCGGTCACCGCTCCCTCACGAGTGCGTTAAATAGCGATTTATAGTAAGCATATGTAACTAACAGGCCACACTTTGTTATGGTTACACATTCTATTTAGTTTGAACATTATCTTTATTCGAGGGACTACTTATTTGGGCGCAGATGAACATTATTATTTTTCGAGGGGCTTCTTTTTAGGGCGCAGAAAGCGCGTACTTTTCAATCCGGCTAAGTACTCCACGATAATTATGCTTCTTTCTAAAAAAAAGTCCTTCACATCTATCGGTTATTAAAAGCGAACAACCATTTTTTCTTTCAGGACAAACGGTAATTGGGTACAGTATGGTTTCACAGGGGGAGCCAGCCAAAAGGGAATGAACTTTGGAAAAGCACGGTCAATCAACGACTGACGTTATCAATGAATGTATAGTCTATTTCAAAGTAGTTAGGATAGATATTTTTACAATTCTCTTTTCATACTGAACGATATTCACCGAGAGTACCATGATAATTGTGATACTTGCTTAACATTTAAACCTGAAAACATGCCGCTGACGGTCAGTATTTTTCGTGCAAAAAGGATTTGATGAAAGTGAGAGTTTATATACTGCGTGCTAGATTTAAGAGGTTTGAAAATTTGGTTAATAAAATTTTTTAATCATGTATTCAAAAGACTGTTTTCTGCGTCATATAACATTGTATCCACAAGCATATAATATACATGTAGTATTAATAAAAGGTCATTTTATTCGCCAAGTATGTTCAAAGCTTTACAGACCCACCCGACAACTATATTTTTGAAACTGTGACGTAATTATGGAAAAAAAATATCTTTCAGATTTCATTTTTATAGCGAGAAAAATTTTTAGTACAAGAAGTATACAAATACTCTTTGATAGACATAAAAAGAATATGTCTTGGTGGGTCTTATAAATTACTATTTTGATGTGACGTCATCTTGTTTGTTTGTTTGTTTTTTGTTTGTTTTTTGTTTGTATTAATGATGTTCGTTAGATATAAAAACACACTATAATCAAATTATTTCTGACATTGTATTTTTTGTTAAGAGCCTAAGGTTAAATAGTAACAGATATAATAAATAAGTTGTTATGATGTAATTCATGGCAAATAAGCCATCTGTCACAGTTCATAAAACATATAAATAAATAGAGGATATTCAAGTTTTTTTCTATAAATACAGGATTTATTTCACTGAGTGGTATGAAAATAAATATTTCATGAGTGGCGGTAGCTGTGGTATAAACTTGAAATTTCTGTTTATTATATACATTTTTCATTACAATTTGAAAGCTTTCCTTCTATTTTTTGTGTATTGGCTGAATTTAGAATAAAGTAGTCCAGCAAGACACTAGTGAGAATACAGAAAATATGTTTCACTGCAGTGAAACATATTTTTACAGTGAAAATACAGAAAATGAAAATATGCATTTTATTTCATCAATATTTCATTTAAAGCTATATAATAAAGTAAAGAAGATGTTTATGTAAACTTCTGCCTGACACTAAAATGGCGCGTGCTTTTATATTTTATAAGTACATCGTGGTATTTAATACTGAATCTATACAAACGTCATATTGCCCTTTGGTAAAAATGAGGTAGTCCTGTTTTATATTTTTGGTTAAATAAATTCATCTAACATTTTCAATCATGTAACTCTCACTAAACTAAAAGGCCCAAAGCTACGATATTTGTTTTTCAGCATTGCCTAGAAAACATCTGTAAACTATTTTTGATCGCGCTTTTGTGGTCAAAATGGTCTCCTCATTTTATGAATGCATAATTTTCTATCTTCTTTCCTGCTTATGACTGGTGGGCGATACAGGCCAACTTGGGCCTCTTGTTTATTTTACAATTTTTGTTTGCTGTTCACAAATTGAAATAGGTCAGGTGGCGAGTCTTCAGGTGTAACATCCGATGGATGTGACAGGTGTTGATGTCACGTTGAGGTTATGTAACATATTGTAATCTAACAGACTTCAACGATGTACGCGCGTTTTGGCTTTAATAACGCTTGATTTATGATCTGACAGTTGATACATTTTCATTATTTCTTTTCCAGATATAAACAACCAATCGGGTCAAAATGTTATTTATGTTTTCAAAAATATCTGTTATATCTCTGAGGGAAATGGCGAAAAAATGATTAATTAGCTTAGGATTATATTTCTTTTCTTATTAACAGTAACAATAAGTCATTTAAAGGGAGTATTAAAGGTTATTTTTTTTTTATATTTCAATTTCATATATCATTCTCCAAGGACGAAAAAGTGCCAGAACCTATCCTTGGAGATGTGTTGACCGTTTTATCACATTTTCTTTTATCTACTACCGCGTGATAAAAGTTTTATAAGTTTTTTTACATTGTCACTTTGTTGTTTTGTTGTTGTTTTTTTGTGCTCTTTGTTAAAATTGTGTCATTTAGCACGTATTTTTGTGTTGTTTAAATAAAAAGTTGGCTTTTTTAAATAAATTTGTTGAGATATAAATTATTACTTGTAATTATATGCTAATTATTTGTAATAATATGGAAATTACTTGTTAATAATATGCAAATTACTTGTAATAATATGCAAATTACTTGTCACATTTCTTGTAATTGTAAACAAATTATTGTTTCATAATAATTATTTGAGATTGTTGGTTATTCTTTGCATATTACTTGTAATATTAAAGCCTCATGTAATTTATGCAATTTACATGTGGGCAGTTTTTGCACATTACATAATTGAATATGCAAATTGCTTGATATTTAAAGCAAAAACTGTATCTAATGCATATACATGTAATTTGTGGTTATTATATGTAAAATACTTCTTGATATATAACAAACTGCTGATTCGAAACCATTTGTCAATTTAGTGAATTAATATGCACTTTTGATACAAGTCACGTAATTTTTTAAGGAATATATTTTTTTGTAAGTTGTAACAAAATTGCTGGTCTCTTTGACCGACTGGTTAAGATCGTTGACTTCAAATCTTTTTGTCCATAACCGCTATGGGATCACATCCCGTCAAGGGGTTTTGAATTCTTTCATGCGAGAAAAAGCTTTCCTACTTGCTTACGAGAGGTCGGACGCTTTAGTCAGGTGCCCGCTTGTGCATGAAATGGCACTTGAGGTTCTCCGCCAATGCATCTGGAAAGTCACCACGTGATCTTAACAACGTCAGTGCATCATGAAACCCTACAAATTATTGAAATAAAATAAAAAATGTTAAAAAATAATAATTCCTTTAAAAAATTGATAAATGAGCCAATTATTTTATTTGTTTTGTAAAAGAGAAGTCAAAGTAATCTCGATGTTTATAGATCTGTAAAATAGATTAAAACATTTAAAATATGCAGTATTTGTTATTTTTCTTCCGTGTCAAAGTATTTGTTCAACAATTTGTCCTTTTTTAAGCCTAATGTATTTTATTTGACTTTTCCTTTCGTACCATTTAAAGTTCTATTTTATATTTTTTTTTTCCCCGTAAAAATCGAAGTTTTTTTCTTCGCAAAATAGTTTTGTAATTGAAACAACGTATTGGCGATGAGCATGTTTGTGCCATGATAACTATTTAGTTCTGTTCTGTCATAACTTTTAGCTCACCAGAACCGAAGGTTCAGGGTGAGCTATTAGTATCAAAGAAGGGCGCCTCGTCCGTTGTCATGTGTCAACATTCATCTCTTCTGAAATTTACTTCAAATTTAGTCTTTAGCATCCTTGTGATAGTCACACTTTAATTTGCTTATATCATTTCAATTGGCCCCTTTTAGGATTGAACAGAGCTAAAAATAATAAAACCTAAACATTGTCGTAATGATTTGTGTTTTTGAAAAATTATTTTTTTTTCGAAAAATTTATTTTAAATTATTTATATTTTAAGCCAAGATTTCTTTTTATCTTTATTCCTATCTGCCATATAGCCTGCATGAAAATCACACGTGTAAAGATAACAAATTGTAAAATAATAAATGACCGTACATGACCTCGGTAGTTTTGCCAAATTATCCTGTCAAAATTTATGTCGCGTTTTTCTTTCCCGCCAATTTTTTGTTTCCATCTCAAAATTATTTAAACGCCTTATTGTTGAGGTTAAAAGTATTTGATAAATAACTAAATAGACGATCAAAATTAAGATCAAAAAATAATAGTTTATGACTATGATAGCAGGCGAACATGTGTTTAATGGGATTTAATGAACAATACCTGTCAAATTAATATACTATGGTTTATATCACAGACAGTTTAATTATACTGTTTTTAAATAAAGACCCCGGGTTTGTTTGTACTAGATAAAGAATATTCCAAGGTTTTCTTTGGTTTATTATTTGGCATTACACTAAGTATATACATACACGTGATGATGATGATGATGATGATGATGATGATGTTGATGATGATGATGTTGTTGATGATGATGATGATGATGAAAAGTAATGCTCATAATAAAAATAATGATGACGATATTTACAACAATAAACGGATGACGATGATGACTTAGAAAACTATGTACACGCTTCCAAGATGGCGGACTTTCAAAGTAGTAAATATTTGGCCATAATACATATAGAAAAAAATGTACACGAAGAACGTGATGGACCTCGGTATCCTATAGCAACATTCCATGGTCATTATCTTTTGAGATATCTTGCAAAAAATAAAAAATGGGAATGGTTATAACCCTGCACAACGAAGTTACAGCTGTCGACGTTTGAACTGCTGGTCCCCATTTGATTGTACGGTGTGTGTATACTGGAATCAGCTTGTCCAGCCGTCTCCTCGTCCGGCCGTCCGTCGGTTTTTACTTGTCCTCCCAATAACTTAAGATTCCTTTGACCCACAATCTTCATATTAAAAATAAGTCATGAATAGTAGATGATCCCTATCAATTATAAGGTCAAAAGTCAAGGTCAAAGGGCCTTGACTTTCAAAAGCTTGTCCGCCCAATAACTTAAGATTCCTTTGACCCACAGTCTTCATATTCAGCATGGAGGTTATTCACGATGAGTAGATGATCCATTTTGATTTTGAGGTCACTGGGTCAAAGGTCACAGGGCCCTTGCCTGAAGAAAGCTTGTCCGCCCAATAACTTGAGATTCCTTTGACCCACAGTCTTCATATTTAGCATCGAGGTTAGTCACGATGAGTAGATGACCCATATTGATTTTTAGGTCATTGGGTCAAAGGTCAAGGTTACAGGGCCTTGACTGAAGAAAGCTTGTACGCCAAAATAACTTAAGATTCCTTTGACCCACTGTCTTCATATTTGGTATGGTGGTTTCCTAACTTGACCCACGTGGGTCAGGTTAGATCGTTTATATTTCAAGAGTTGTCACAGTGAACTATGGAAACGTTAAAGAGGATGTCAAATGAATAACTTAGACTTGTCTCAATCATACAATATCCACAATATCTGTTATTGTAACTTCCAGGGTTTGTTCAAGCTACATGACTTGTTTTAGAACTACTCATTGCTTTACCAAGCAATCACAAAATTCGCTGTAAAATTGCACAGAATAAACATCAGATATAACAATTATTTTCCTTTCATGGATATTTTCCACCAAGAAACTTCAGAGTGCGCAAATACATTTTACAAGTACAAATGTAAATGATTTCACTTTACAAAAATACCTTAAAAAGCGGTGTTAAACATACAAATGCCCACTTGCCCGTCAAAGTTGAAAATTGGCTGGGCAAGTTAGTCACGATATTTACTGTTCCGTCAAGCTAGTTAATTTTTTTTCAGGAAAAATTTAATAGCCAAACTGTTTAAAAATTAATTAAACAAAATATATGTAAAAAAAAAAAATTAAAAAGCTCCAGTATGAAAACGAAATCAGAAAGCATGAGATGACATGCTTAACTTGCCAGATGTACAATAAGAAGGAACTTGGGTCATTTGTGAAAGGTTCCTTTTTTATAAAGAAAAAAAAAACAACAACAATAAAACAATCAGTTTCGGGTACCAATATAATTAGAGGGGCAAGTTGAAGTTGAGCTGGACTTGCCCCTCGGCAGGTTTATTTGAAAAAATATTTCTAACACTTAAAACAGTTGTTTCTTGTGAGCGATTTTGAGCCACTACGGCCCCCTTGTTTACAGAAAATTGAATATTTTTTCGTGTATTTTATTGCATTTTTTATTTTTAATGTAATTATATTAATATTCTATCACACCAAATTTTTATTACCTTTCTTTTTGGCTAATGTTTATATTATTTATTTTACAAAATCTAATATTCTTTCTTTCAGGAGTATTTTATTTGTTTCCCTGTCAAAATACAATATTCCATTCCACCAAATGAAATACGTTTTGTTACATACATTGTAAATATTTGTATTTACGAAAATTTTTCTTTCGAATTACATTATTTTTATTTTAAGCCAAGATTTCCATTTTGTTAAATTTTTTTCTGCCATACAGCCCGCATGAAAAATTTACAGTTATGATTATAAAAAGGGGATTGGTAAGTAATTTTGTGTAAGGGGTCCCTAGTTTGCAAAAAATTCCCTTAAAAAAATTTTTGTTTCCCTTTTTCTTTCCCGGGGATTTTTTGTTTCAATTTTAAAATCATTTAAAAAACTTATAGGGTTGAGGTTTTACTAAAAGTATTTGATATATTACTGTCAAAGTAAGTATGCTTCTTAACAGACGGTAAAAATAAAATTTTATGACTATGAAAGCAGACGAACATATGATCAGCTGGGATTAGACGAACCATACCTGTCACATTTTGGTTTATATCACAGACGGCGCAATTAAACTATTTTTAAATGAAATCTCCAAGTCATAAAGATGGAACAATGGCAATATACCAAAAACAAATGGCCTTGATATACTAGATTAAGACAATTCCAAGGTTTTCTATGACTGTATTATTTGGCTAGACATACACATGATGAAGAAGATGAAGAATATGTAGGAAAAAAGGAGGAGAAAAGAAGAGGAAGAAAAAGAAGAAGAAGAAGAAGATAATGATGAGATGAAAAATTATTTTTTTAATTAATAAAGCATACGGATGACAATATTACAAATTGAAATGCCCTGTTTGAAAAAGTAGGTTTAAATGTGAAATTCCAAAGACGAAATGTCAAGGGTTTGGTGGTTCATTTTTCATTGTTACAAATTTTTTTGAATATATTTGTCCATAATACCTATAGAAAAATGTACACGAAGAACAAAATGTGCAAGAAGATCAAAATGTCCACAAAGAACGCGATGAGAGCCATATACCGATATTACATGTAGATAGAACTATTCCACAGTCATTATGTTTTGAGACATCTTGCATCCCCCGCCCCCCCCCCCCCCCGCCCCCCCCCCCCCCCAAAAAAAACCAACAAAAAAAAAACAGTGCAAATGGTCGTGATATTCGATTATCTCGCATTGCTTTTAAGGTATAATTTGTTGAATAGTCTTATATATTCAAATCATTTTGTTTTTGTTTTTTCTCTTGACATTTTAACTCAATCTTTAAGCTGAGTTACATGCGTCCATAAGTACTCAAAACATATATTTTTCAAAACTCTAATGCAGCGGTGTAGACCACATGAACAGTTTCGCTCATAGTGGTATTAAAATGTAAATGATATTTTCTGAACGGTTTAGACATAGAAACGAACCTTAATTCTGTACGGTATAGATGTTTATAACTTTCTATATATATTTAAGAAATAATATATCCCAAACTGTGATTTTATTGCTCAATAACATCACTGTTTGGAGTTCGGATGCGGGGAATTATATCACGAGGGCGTAGCCCGAGTGATATAATGATGCGCATCCGAACGACAAACAGTGATGTTATCAAGCAATAAAATCACCGATTTGGATATATTATTTCGATTCTAACACGACATCAACAAACAAAAGCTGCCGTACATGATAATTAGCTAAATGGCGAATGATTTGTTTCCGTACTTATTGTCAGCGCGTCACATTTTTAGTGGTTACGTCACATGTATAATGATTACGTCACATGTCTAAATATAGAAAGTCAAACAGTGATTTTATAGCATAATAACACACACTTTCGGTTCTTCTATGTTCAATAGGAAAAAATGCGGGCCGTGTTAGAATTCAGAATAATATCTTTTGCCTGTTGAATCAGTTCTTTTGAAAGTTAATTTGAAAGTGTTGTTCTTTGCTCCACGGCAGCACTCTCATATTGTAAAAAATCATCGAAGGGATCCTGGGAACAGAAATAAAACGCATATATTTAGACTTCGGAATAAAAGTAATAAATAAAGGGACACCACGGACGTTTTTGACACGACGAGATTAGAATATATTTCTTCGAGATTAATGTTCCATTTGATGTATGGCTAGATCATAGTTTATGTGCAACAATT